TTCTTTTGAACAATAACTACAATTAAATTTAACTATGAACCCCAAGAAAAACAGTCTAAAGGTAAATTATAGAACATTATTTTAGTTCTGCACATTTAATCTTTAATCTTAAAACCATAACCATAAAATGTTATGGTTTGTCTCACATGTACTAAGTACAATAATTATCTGTAAAATTACTGTAAATTATTAAAATGTGTCCTGCAAATCACATTAGTTCTCGCAGCTAGCTGCGTTCTTCATCGACGCACGAGCCGAGTGATCCACCGCTACTTATACATTATCAAACATCTAATGTTTAATAATGTATAAGTTATTCACATTTTAAATGTACTCTGAATAAAGCTCAAATTGACAAAAACATTCTTTACTGGCAACATCTACAACAAGTATGATGACAGAAATACTTATTGGCTTATCTGAGGGTGGTCACTTCCTGCTGGGTGACACTTGTGTGAAAATGAAACAGTACTAAAGCATGGAAGCCAATGTGTCTCTGGCCTATAAAACTGATTAAACTGAACAAATGAAAGCAGCGGACATCATATCTTACAAAAGAGGCCAACACTGTAGAGATCTGGAATACCCCCACAGGAGAATGTGCTGCCAAATGCTGAACATCAAATGCTCACACTAGGGGGTGGCACTAAGAGCTCCCTAAAAACCAATATTCTAGCTTCCACTGCTCTGAATAATTCAAAAATCACTTATTTACATAAGGTGGCATATCAAGGCAATTTCTTTCAAAAAGGAATCATAAAAATAAGTCTGTTTTACCCTCATAAGCAAACACTGGTGATTTGATTAGAGCACGAATGGTGCTAAGATATGTAGATAGAATGGTGTGCACATGTGATGCAGGCATTTATTTGAATAAAATAAAATGCACATGGGTATACTCATGGACCCACTGACTTGCATGTAAGCACTTTGGAGGAACTTCTGCCCATTCAGTAACTGAATGGGCAGAAGAAATCTGGTTCTGTCAAAAAAAAAAAAAAAAAATTAAGTCCAAAGCTAAACTAAAGTGCTGAAGTTGGACATTACAAGAGTTGAGGAGGACTGAAATGAAAGAATTGTAGTTATAATGAAGATTGAGCCCAATCTACATGTTTTATAAATGCAGAAAATAATTCAAGTTCCTGCTTATAGAGGTGGTTTGATGAGCTATCATCTTTATAAATTCAATAACTAAAAACTACTAGAAAATTGTCATTGTTTCAATATTTCAAATGAAACAATTTAAATATTAAATATTTATTTTTTCCATGACAGTATTTTACAGGTAGAGGTCTATTCAGAATCATTATTCCTTCAGAGTTTTCAGGTCCAAACCCACCCATCTTTCTTTTTTTTTTTTGCATCTATATGTGCATTAAATTTCATAATGATGATGATTTAATCACAAATCATTGTGATTATGAACTTCTTAGCGGGGAGTCTGAACAATGGCCAAATAGCACTCATTTCTCCGATAAAGACACAGCGGACACTGCAAGCCACATCCTTGCAGTGAGATAAAAGGACTTCTGTCCAATTCAAAGTCGAGAATTATATCAGGGGAATGATAAAAGGCACCTGACAGCGAAATTGACTTGTCTGAACAACGGCTTGTCTATGCAATCAGATTTCTCATCGACAGAATGTCTGCCTTGTTGCCCTTGCCTGTTCCGTTCCTGTTTGATGAACAGCAATCATTTCAGGTCGCTGAAACAAAGCTGCCACAGCTAATCCGAAAACACTGTTTGACAGCAAATTCTTAATCCTCAACTGGGATGCTGATGATGATGTTGCCATTTTAACTGCAGGTTCAGTAAATGCTCAGACACATACATTCTAACATTTAACAGCTTGGCACTCTTTAGAGAGCCCTGTCTCTGGCTCTATTAGTTATGATCTATAAAATTCAGAGAGGTTACAGAGGACAACATAAACTCACATCAGAGGCAACAAACAACATTTTACTGCTCTAAACCTAATACTGCTTTCTTCCCAGGATTATAAACAATTTGAACATTCTGTACACTCTCCAAAACTTTTTTTCTTTGACATAATGCCAACCAATTTGCAGCTAAATTAGACACCCATAATCTCACACTTTTAGAATGTAATCAACTGTGGAAGTAACAGAACCAAATCTAATTGGCTTTCTTCATGTGGGGGAACGGACACAACAAACTAATCAAAACACAGCAGTAAAAAGAGGGAAAACCTTATAGTTTACCAAACTAACAGAGCATCCAGAGTTGCAGAACTTAAAGGTTTATATTGAGCCTGACTATGGCATTGGTTAAAGAGCCTGGAGGAGAGACAAACGCAGATGGTCTCTCTGTTAAAGCGGACAGAAAATGCAGATGGGTAAGCAAGCTTTGGCTGACTTTCATTGCATGGCTCTCCCAAGAACTGTTGCTACCTCGATGTGAAGCCCAAAATGACAGCGATAATTACTCACTTGCTCTCTGAAAACCAAATAAAACTCACAAAATTGAGTCGTAAAATAAGTAAAATGACTAGATGGGACTGAAATTTCAAGAAGTAAAACCACAGAATGTGAGAAGAAACATAGGCACTTTCTGGATCTAAAATGAATCTGTAATCTTTAAAAATCACAGACATTATTATATGTTCTCTGTCCTTTTGTATCTGAACTCAGCTTGTGGAGGCAACAGGTCCAGGAGGAAACCCCAGTGACACACAGGCTCATGGCGGATCAGTTCCCAGGTGAGACATAAAGTCCCTCCAGTGAGTTCTGGGTTCTGGGTTTTTCCCTGGGTGTAGTCGCAGTGGGATGTGCTTGGAAAATCTCTAAAAGAAGGGAGGCTTGCATTTTGTCTAAGCTTTGTCTTTACCACAACAGACTGGAGCATATTCCACATTACTGCAGATGAAAATCTAATTTGTCTGTCAAGCTCCTGTTTTATTCCATTTCTTGTGAAGACAACTCCAAGATATTTAAACTCCTCTGCTTGATGCAGAGACTAATCTTGAACCAAGAGGGTGCAGTCCACCTTTTCTCATTGGAGAGCAATGGCCTTAGACTTATATATTTGATTTTTTTATATAATTTAATGTGACTCAAGTCTGCAGTGAAAAGGACTATGTACAGAAATGTCAGGAAGGTGTGAGATTCTGGTAGGTAAGTTCACATTGGAGGCAATTCTGTGAATGTAGCTTTAAGCAAAGATTGCTTATGTGACATTCATGAAAAAAAAATCAGCCAAGATATCACTTTGATGAGAAATATTGTACTGTAATTACATTATGAAATCTTGGGCAGTGGCCCATAAAATCTAATTAAGCCCCTATTAGTAGATCATACTTTCTAAGTCTTTTAATCTGAATTTCAAATGTCTAAACAAGAAACCCCTTCTGGCAATAGCTTAAGGTCTCTTATTCCTAACTATCCTTTTTATAGTTATGTATGATTTAAGATTCAGCTTGCTTGCTCTGCATTTTTTAAATAATTATTAAGACATTTCAAAAAGCTGTGCTTATGAGTGAGTAGTCTCCGTATGGTACAAGTTGCAGAGAAGCTTTAATTGCTTGTTTGATTGCCACTTAATCCTTTCCATGGCACATAACAGCAGGAAGTAAAAATGCAGTGGTAATCACCATGCTATGATCTAATGATGATCTGATACAAGGGGAAAACCACGGAGGCAAATAAGGGCAGTAATTAAAAAAAAAAATACTAAAGAGCATCTGTTGAATTTCAATGAAAAGAGCTGATTGAAATTCCCTAAAAGTGCAAAAGTCCTATTATTTTCACCAAGGAGATGTTCAGCATTCCATCGTTTAGAGAAGCAGAAGTCCAGAGTCTGAATACATTACTCCAGTTATTCATACAGTATGGGTTGTTTAATTGGAAATCTACTGGATTTGATTCATACAAGACATTTCTTGTCATAATTTTATTGTTTATGACCAACTCAAATGTAAGTTAGGTTCATATTACAATAAAGAAGTCTTTTCAGGAGGGACTTTCTCAACACTGTGAAAACATAGTAATCGTATGTATACTTTTGTACATTATCTTATATACTATTTTTCTATTCTGTTTATGTCCAAATAGTATTTTGTCAAGATTTTTTTTCTATCAATGCAGGAAAAAAAACATTTCATGATTTAGCATTAAGTAAAGTTTTTCCAACTGGTTGAACTGGTAGGCTGAATATTACATCCTGATGCAAATAGCTTTGCTACCTTCATAGTTCATGAATCCAACATGCGCCATAACTACAACCGATCAGGAGATATATACATAGATGGATGGATCTTATACATAGGAAGAAGTCCTAAAGACTTCAGAAGGTGTTGGTACTTTGGCAAATATATCAAAGAAAATTAATTAAGAGTTCAGAAAATTATGTCAGCTTATAAAAGAGATTTACATGTTCTCTCACTTATAAAGTGTCATAATTAAACTACCGCAGATTGAAGCAAATGACCAAGTAAATTAAACTTTACTGCAGCATTCAAAGTATAGAAGAAACAGTATAGAGCTGATTAACATCAAGGTAAAACTATAAAACTCAGAAGGTGAAGCAGAGGATAATATGCAAAAAACTCACTTCAGCGCCTTCTTTCACTAATGTTATGCAGATTTATTCATGTGTTGCACAAAGAAAAATAGGCCCCTGGGTCCATTGCAGTGGAAGAACAGTGCAATAGCATTACTATCAGGAGATAGACGTGATTTTCTGCTGTTCTAAAACAAAGTAAATCAGAATTTCCGTCAAGGCCACTTCCATCGTAAGACAACCTCCATATATATGATTTAATATCCCACATAGAGCTCCGTGTATGTGAAGGTAGTAAGAGTGTGGTTTTACTCTGCAATGACATAGGGACAAGCCCTAGTGCAGAAAGTGACAAATAGCTGCTGGTAATGACAAGCTGTCTGATACTCATGTAGAAGCCCGAAGTGAGAAAAATCAGCAGAAGACATTCAACTTGTGCATTGACAAATGACAAACTGCCAAACATGGATGGTGACTTACCCCACACGGCTGGAAGATGAGTCCATCGACTTCATGGCTGACTTGGGAAGTGAAGCTTCCTTCAAGGAGCTGAAAAAAAAGAGGACATAGTTTCTGTTAAGAAAAACTGACAGACACAGATGGTAGCTGAAAGTTTCAGGCTGAAACAGATTAAAATAGATTATTTTATAAACTCAGTTCTAGCCAAAGAGCCTGGCATCAACCTTGGACATAAACCAAAATAAGTAAGCTTTAAGAAAACCAGAAGGCTTACATTTCTAAGCACAAACATGATACAATCTTTTAATCTGTCTCGCTCTGAAACTAAGTCCGATGACACGACAGAGATCTAAATCTTCAACCCGCAGACCAGGTTGAGGACAAGAAAAAGCAAATCGTTAAGCTCCTGATGACAGAACCACACAGATTTCACTACATCCATTAACATCAACCTAGACAACTGAGTCACAAAAATCACACAGCAGAATACCTGACAAGCCAAGGGGAAACGGCAGAGGTGTTTAGTAACAAGATTTTTTTTTACGATTAAAAATGATCAACTACTATAGCGAGGGTATCAAATATTTTAAATCAATGCATTTGTTCCAACTTCATTGGCATGAAGAAATGGAGGAAGGTTATTCCATGTTTAGAATAAATGCCTGTTTCAGTTTAGGAAAAATAAATTGTTCCCATTTAAATTGCTATACTTATCTAGTGGGTTTATGGGTAAAACATAAAAGGTTTCAATATTTTGTTGGATATCTACCATGTGAATAATATATTTGGCCTGTAGGATAATTTTTTTGTACCTTTAATGCCCTCATTTCATGTATGTTTTTTTGCCAGAGATGCTTGAGCTTACAAAGTGTGATGGAAACAAAGACAGAAAAATGTGGATTGATTGTAGTCGATATTGCAATACTTTCTACTGTAATCTCTTCCCCATGAAGAAATGAAGGATATGTAATCAACAGGGTTCTGTATGTTTTGTGTATATAGCCATATAACTGGTTTACCTATTGAGTTTTGTAGTCTGTCTTTGCCTAAATTACCAATAGGTAAGAGCTAGAAGGCTTAAACAAAAACAAAAGTAATGAAATTACAGATAGATTGTCATTTTGGTGAACACAACATTTTCATTTTGTTCTTAGTATGCTACAATAATCCGATGTGACAAACTCAAGTTTGAGCCAATGATCAGGGTGACAAGCAAACTGAGGGTGATAAGCAAAATGGAGGAAAAAATCTCCAGGGGGTTTTGTGCTGCAGTGCAGCTCATATTGACAATCACTTTACTACACCAGACACACTTAATATTCTTTGGTTCTTGCCCTAAAACAACACAGAACAGTTTTACATCAATGCAATGAAAACCTTATCCTTCACTGGCATAATGACTGGTTGGGTGACCGCACAGCCTATTTCTACACTTTGACCCACTCAGGCTGACATCTGAGGCTGAACAGAACATTAACTTTAAGGTGTTATGTTTATAATTCCTTGAGTGCGAAAGTGCAGAAATTATTTTTTAAAATTCTATATTTTCTATAAAGATAAAATGGTTGCCAAGAGGGTGGAAAAAAAGATAACAGAAAACAGATCCTTGACTTTGTCTGTATGTGTTGTGATGTTTAACTGGTAAACCTAAACATAATCACGAACATAATCAGCTCATACGGACAGAAAGATCACATTTGTTTATGCATCTTTATGTGTTTAAGAGCTAGAAGGAATTGGATAATAATAGGCTGAATGTGCTTACTGACAAACTGGTGACTCAGAAATATGCACTGTTGTCTCACATAATGGGTTTACATTACTCATGATGCCTTACCAACAACAAGGCATAATTACTGCATTTAAAGCTTATTCTGTTGACCTTAAATCAAAATAGGTATAATAGTTGATAGAAGGATTATCCTCATTGGGCTTATAAAAATAATAATAATAAAAAGAAACAATCTTTGTTGGAAAAAATAAGTATTTTTGTAATGCAGAAATGCAAATTCTGACAATGAATAAGACAAGCTTCATTTAGTTTTTTCAACTTAATTTCCATAATCTAAAGGTACATGAGCATTTTGGTATCCATATTGCAATCAATATTAAATTTGTTTGGTAATGTATACCAAATCACACCAAGCTTATGATTTGAATTTCCTTTTTCATAACTCTTTTGCGATGCAAATTTCAATTAAGATTTACAAAGATTCCAATGTAAGCCACTACAACCAGCAGTCAAGGATTCTTGCACTGCAAAGCTGGCAGTGGGTGCATCACTTTATTGCTAACAACAATTTTTCAGCAAATATGCTCAAGGAAACCAAATGAAGTCATTAGCCCTATGAGGAAAGAATACATCAAACTAAAAGCAACAGAAAAATACTCTCCCCAATGCATATGCAAAAAAAGGAGAGCAGCATCCAGTATCTCAAGAACGATGAATGAGTCACAGCAGATCACACAAAGCTTGACAACCGTGCTGACATGGAGAAGGCAGATAGCCAGACTAAAAAGAAATGATGCTTTTATGAGAGAACGGCAATGTAGGCGGTAAGATCTGGGAGTTCCATTTCAGTTCTCCTGCCATCTTAGCACACCCACCCACCATCCTCAGTGAGCAAAGTGAATCAGGGATGGAGAGATGAGCAAGAAAGACAGAATTCCACTCTCACATCCTCCTACAGTAAGGAAGTTCCTTGGGGGAAGGAGCTGGTGGGGACAGAGATCCAGATTTCATGGTAAACCTCTTGGAAAAAAGAACACAAAGCCAAGACTGCAACAGTGGGGTTATGTGGGAAGAGATGAACAGCAAAACCTCATTAAGAGATCAAGATTTCATTGTAGACTCGAGGGCAGAGACGGGACAACAGAAGTCCCTCGAGAGTCAAAAATTAATTCCTAACATGCAAGCAGTCAGCCTATTTCTTTGTAAGGTGTTGGAGTGATTGAGGTCAACATATTTCCCTCTTCAAGGTCTCATGTTTGCAATTATTTCACATTAGGACACAATGACGCATGATAGCTAAATTGCTCATTGCCCTGCGGGATGCACTGAACATTAAGTATCTCATTCATGTTCATTCATATTTCTATGTAATCTTTTTATGCTGAGCCTTTTTCAAAAGGAACAACTGCTACAATCCCATTGCTAAGATTAATCTTTATTTTGTTTGAGATTTAGTTCACACTTACTAAATAGTGCAGAAAAGAGGAAATTATTTTTCTGGTTCTAAGAAAAATAAAAGAATCAATCTGTGCTCAGATCCTGTCAGCAAAAGCTTGAGAGCAGTTAGATTAGGTCTCTGTTTCCATTTTGCTCTTGGTCCCAAAGCTTTCTATCAATTTCATGGATTCATTTCTTTTCCCCATTGAATGGGATACTAGGTTCTGCTGTATGATATTACCCACTTTTGTTTCCGACAGTTCAGGTTAAAGCTTTTGAAATACCAATCATGTATCTTGAAAAGCCAACCTTTCAAGGAAACTTGGTTTTTCTGTCTAGAGATAAGTCTTGGGAGAGTTTCGACATTTTCTTTTGTTTCTTTATGATTTCATGACTAAGGTACAGCAGAATGGCAGAGCAAGTGAAACATTTGCCCTTTTTGAGGTGAAAAAAAAGTTCTTTGTTGTCTTTCCATTGATTAGCTCCTTCCAAGTGTCATCACTGCTTCAGCTTTTGTTTACATCCGTACCTACTGTGTCTGGCTTCTTCTGTTGCAGAATTATGATGTATGTCTAATGCCAATTTTGTAAAAGTTGGATAAAATATGACATGACAATTTTGACTACAAAAACAAATATAAAAGTGGCACAAATTGGATGTTTTGGGCGGCAAAAAGTTTAGAATTTAGAATTGAATGAACAAGTCAGACATGGACCAAAAAAACCTAAAAAGAAAACGGAATGGATCACATTTGCCTGCTATATAAATGTAACATTAGTCAAGTCGCAGTGTTGTGCAGTGTGTCCTAAAGGAATCCTCTACACCTGATCGCCTTCACTCACTGTTTTGACTCCAACATTACTTGACTTGTGCTGTCAACACTCATAACCTCTTTATCTGTTACCGAGACGCCAGCTCCTTGCACAGCAAACCACTTATGTAGCCATCAGTAGTCTTTACCTTGACATTTTCTTTGGGGTACTTTATTTAAAAAAAAAAAAAAATCACAAATTGCCATCACAAATAACCAAGGGCTGTCAGAAAAAAAAGAGTCTACAAATTTTTTATTTTTCTTGGTGTTATGTACAAATACATGCATTTAAACTTGCTCACTATGTGAAACTAGTTTAATAAAGCCTCACGTACCTTTGCTGCTGACGTGCCTTTCACTGTCTGGATCAAAGAGTTGAATGAAAGAAAAACTGAACAACCTTCTTCCTTGCAAAATATTTTCATCCGGCTTTCGACTTCCACTTTAGAAACACTCAGCATGGTGAACAACCCTCAAATAATAGTTATTCTGAAACCTCAACTTATCTGCACTCTTAAGACTACTATACACCAAACCAACGTCGAGGACCAGCCGAGACAGCAATCATACCCTGTTGTGTCTACTCATGTTGCTAGTGTCTGAGGAGGAAAATAAAAGCTTGAACTACTCTCAAATGTAAACTCCAACTAAAAGTCCCATTGTATAATGAATATCTGAGTCATTTTATTTAATTTTACACTGCATACTTAGTTAATGATCCATATATTATTTCATAACTATAAAAAAGTGAAACTCTCATTGGTGTATGAATGCAAAGATTGCAAAGAATAGTATGTGTCATTTAAGCTCATACCTTCATCTTAACTGTTAATACATAAAAGCTTTAAAGAATTTTCTTGAATTTTAACCATTATCATTCAGTAGAACAGATGTTTAGATCACAAGTTTAAATAACTTTTAGGATTAAATCAAACGGTGTTGTCATAATGCAGTTCAAGTCTTTACATATTCCAACACCACATCATGTGTTGCTGCCATCAAACATCACAAGGTTAAATATGCATTTGAACTTGGCCTTGAGCTTAAAATGACTATTTCCTTCTGTGACTAATGAAGTGGATTTTATGGGCTCTAAATACTCAGCTGGAA